CAAAAGATATATTAAATATTTTCAATAGAAAAAAAATGGTGAATTACACTAATAGTCCCTATAGTTTGCGGCTCATGTCACTTTGGTCATTGACTTTTCAATTGTGACACATTTGACCCTGAATTTTGAATCTTATTTCAAATAAGGACAATTGAAGATACCATTACTTAATTTCAAAGGTAAGATTGTCAATTTGATAAAATATAAATTAATTTGACAAAAATAAATGTCAAAAAAATATTTTTAAAATTTTAAAAATGATTTCTTTCAACCAAAGATAAAATTATATAAAATTGATAAATTTTTTAGACATTTATTTATTTATTTTTTACCAAATTAATTTTTATTATGTGTTTGGATGATAATCATGTAATCGATGGTTGTTAAGATTTTAATGTGTAATCCATATATGTAATATATGAAATATTTTTAATTTTGATTTTTTTGATTTAATGAATTAGTTTAATAATGATATCAAAGTTGTCGTCATATTTGACTTTTAAAAAAATAGAAACTAATTTACTAAAAATAAAAATAACCACCCATTACATGATCATCATCTAAACGCATAATAAAAATTAATTTGGTAAACAAAAAATAAATAAATGTCTAAGAGATTTATCAATTTTACATAATTTTATCTTTAGTGGGTATAAATAATTTTTAAAGATTAAAAAATATTTTTTTGAAATTTATCAAATTAGTTAATATTTTATCAAATTGACGATTTTGCCATTGAAATTAAATAATGATGTCTTCAATTGTCCTTATTTGAAATAAGATTCAAAATTCATGGTCAAATATGTCATAATTAAAAAATTATGAATTAAAATGACACAAATCTCAAATTATATGACGATTAGCGTGATTTCGGAAACTAAAACAATTAAACATTTCAAAAGACACTACATTTTGATTTATGTGCAAAACTAATTTTTAAAATTATTTTTTTGAAAAACTCTATTAATACATAAAATTTATAGAAAAACTCTATAAGAATAAGGTGACAATACCATTCTCGACAATAAATTAATCTTTGTAATTGTTTTGTTTTAGAATAATGTTATATGCACTAATTAATAGTGTACTAATTAATGATGTGGTATAATTTAAAATGTTTTTAGTATTTGTAATTTGTATAATGAGTAGAATCAATAATAATATCATAACTACTATTAATAAGCTAATTAATATACTAATTGATATATATAGTACCACTGTTTGTTTAAGATAAATGGTGCACATTGAACTAAAAAAAAAGGAAAAAATAGATTGCAACCTTTAACAAGCCCCACCAAAAGGAAAAAGGTTGGGATCCCCTTTTTTGGAGAACCTCCATCGTTTGGGGTGTCCTAAATAAATGCACTTTTTATCTTTTTAGACTAAAAAGTTGAGGAAAAAAATATGGATGTTTGGTTAACTTTTTGACTTTTTATGAAAAAATGTGTATTAAAAAATTGTATAAATAAGTATGTAGGAGAAGATTGTGATGGAATAGTTGTAAGGTGAGGGACAGTGCTTGGAGAGTGGGGAAGAGAGATGATTCCCTGCTTTTCGGGCAGTGAATTAAAGGTGTTGTTCGGCTCATGGGGGCCTACCACGGGTCCCGTTTTGCTAATCGAAACCGTTCGATGTGTAGAACTCGTCGAGCACTATATACTTGTAAAAAATCATGTTGATCGGATATCGATAGCTATCTTATCGAATTAGTTTTTTTTTTCAACCGTTAACTATAACACTATCCATTTTATAAATTTTAATTGATTTGATCGTATAGTTACCGATATCTGATCAACGTGATTTTTGACAATTATATAGTACTCGACGAGTTCTACACATTGAACGGTCCAGATTATTAAAACGGGAGCCGTGATGGCCCCTATGGACCGAACAACACCGTGTTATGTGTACACCTAAATAAGTGCAATTTTTTCCACAACAATGCTCCACCTATCGTTATGATTGTTTGAAAAGAAATATTGTGTAAGATTAATTTTTTAATATTTTTTTTAGGTGAATAGTGATAACTTTTTAACTTTTTGAATAATTTTTTTACTTTTTCTGGAGTATCCAAACCAGGCCTTAATGTGTTGTGATTGGTCATTTTTTTTATTTATTTTTTTTTTCTATTCTATCTCTGGGTTGACATGTGTATGTGACGATTGTGAAAGTAAAAAAAAGAAAAAAAAAAGATTCGGCTTGCTTGGTTCTATTTTTTCAAAAACACTTTTCAAAAAATTCTACTTTCTTATTTTTCGTATTTTTTTGTTTTTACTAAAATTTTTTAATATTTTAAGCAATTTTTTTACTTTTTAGACATATCTAACATAAATACACCTAAAAAGTAAAAAAATTGTAAAAAAAATATTTTAAAAATTCACTAAATACCAAAAATACAAAAAAAAATACAAGAGTTCAGTACATTTTTTGTATTTTTATGTATTTATTAATTTTTAAAAATATTTTAAGCAATTTTTTACTTTTTAAATACATCTAAGTAAGGCATATTTAAAAAAGTAAAAAAATATTTAAAATTTTAAAAATATTCACTAAAAACAAAAAAAATATGAAAACTAAAAACCTCAGGCCTTGTTTGGTTTGTTTTTCAGAAAAAAAAAATTTGGAAAAAATTATCTACAAACAAATTTTCTAGAGTAATTAAACCAAACAAATTTTTACAAAAAAAATTTCAAAATTTTGTTTAGTTACCTACTTTCCAAAATCACTCTCTCACTCATACACATCAAATCAATTATTTTTTTTTAAAACTCTCTTCCTAAAACAATTTTTCAAAACGATTTCTAAAAAACTACAAACTAAATAAATTTTCATATTTTTATCTCAAAAAATACTCTACAAACATAAATTAAACACACCGCCAATTTTTAAAAAATAATCTAAAAAACTCAAACAAAATGCATTAGTATCATTTCTGACCTCAGAAATGACCAAACAAAGCATTGATTGATTTTACGGCCTATTTCTAGGTACGTGCCGGCAATTCAGTCAAAATACAACAATCTCCAAAGCCTCACTCACTCACGGCCGCACTCTGTCCCTATAAATTTTTATATTTTTAAATTTTTAATATAAAATCATAAATTTTATTCATTTCATTAATTATAATATATATAAAACATCACGTGTTACTCTTAAATTAATTAATAATTTTTCTTATGCCTACATTATTACCCACAAAGATGTGAGATGAGACGAGATAAGACGACTTTTCATTTTCACTCCAACAGATAAACGAACAATAAGAAATAAACGAAGTTGACAACATCTTTTACCTTTACATTATTACCCACAAAGATGTGAGATGAGATGAGACGAGACGAGATAAGACGACCTTTCATTTTCACTCCAACAGATAAACGAACAATAAGAAACAAACGAAGTTGACAACATCTTTTATGCCTACATTATTACCCACAAAGATGTGAGATGAGATGAGACGAGACGAGATAAGACGACCTTTCATTTTCACTCCAACAGATAAACGAACAATAAGAAACAAACGAAGTTGACAACATCTTTTACCTTTACATTATTACCCACAAAGATGTGAGATGAGATGAGACGAGATAAGACGACCTTTCATTTTCACTCCAACAGATAAACGAACAATAAGAAATAAACGAAGTTGACAACATCTTTTACCTATTTTTACAAAAGGCCGTGCTACATCCCCTAATTTGGGGAGCCCTAATCCCTCGAAAATTGAGACCAAGGCAAAAAAAAAAAAAATTCCCAAAACGACGTCGTTTTGGGAATTAGGAAGATTAGAGGAGGCTTTTTTAGGGTTCCAAATCATTTCCCTTTTACAAATACCCTTATCTCTCTTACCTATCTACATCTCTTACACCATCTCCATAGTTGAAAAACAAATTTTTTTTTTTTATCAATTCCAACATTATTTTCAAACTAATATCAAATGAAAGGAGAATAAAATATTTCATTAAATGAAAGAAACGTTTATCGTTCATCAAATTATATGTGATTTTTGGGTCAGACATTCTTCCATAGAGCTACAAACGAACTGAAGTGAGCTTAGCTGAGCTCGAGCTCGACTCGGCTCGATTCAATAATTTTTTTAATATTATTTATATTATTTTAATAAAAAGATTATTTATATTATTTAATATATAATTTAAATAATATATAATATAGTATTTATTATATAACTTAAATAATGATAAACAAGTTGAGTTTGACGAGCCGAGCTTATGCGAGCTCGAACTCGACTCGTTTACTAAACGAGTCTAATATTTGAGCTCGAGCTCAGCCCATTTACTAAACGAATCGAGCCGAGCTGAGCCGAGCCGAGCTTGTTCATGAACAGTTCGATTCATTTGCAGCTCTATTGTTCCATATGTCTTCTTGGACAACTGAATTTTCTTTATTTAATCCCAATTTTTACTTATGTCCTGACGTTCTCCTGAACAATCGAATATTTGATGAAAATTTTAACTTTAACGTTAGAATGCACAATATTACTTAAATTTAAGATTTAAAAAATTTGATGAAAATTTGGATATAATGTGAGTCATAAAAATCCTAAATCGCAAACCCAACGCACCAGAAAGAAATTAGGGTTTCGTTTGGTTTAGTTTTGAAATAAGTTTTGAGTTTTGAATTATATTTTGAAAGATAAGTTGTTAAAAAGAGTTTTGAAAATTAAAAATTTATTTGGTTATGAGTTTTTTGAGATGATTTGTAATTTTTAAAATTTTATTTGTAGTTAAACAGATGAATATGAAAGAAAATTTGTTTTTTTTTTTTTTTTAAGCAATGGGAGAAAAATTGATTGATATGTAAAATGTGAGAAAACGAGAGAGAGAGAAAAGAAGAAAGAGAGAAATAATTGATTGATTTATTAATAATAAAAAAATAGAAAAAATTAAACTTTAAATTGTATTTTAAAATTTTATTAATCAATCAATTTTTTTTATTTTTTAATCCAAATGGTTGTTTCAAAACTAAACCAAACATTACCGAGTATTTCCCTTCCCATTTCGCCACGTAAAATCGCCATTTCAAAAACCTAACCTAAACCTAACCCAACTGAGCCATCCCAACCGCAAACCCAACGCACCGGAGAGAATATGGTATCCGACTCGGAGCTCGTCGGCCGGCTTCGGGATTTCCTCCGAACCTCGGATCTCACCACCACCACCACCGCCACCATCCGGCGGAGGCTGGAGGAGGATTTCGGGATCGATTTGTCGGACAAGAAGGCTTTTATTCGTGAACAGGTCGATCTTTTTCTTCAGAGCCAGGTCGATAACGCCCAAGAGAATGAAGAAGAAGACGAAGGCGAAGTAAACGAGGAAGAAGAGGACGACGACGACGAAGAAGAAGAAGCCAGTAATGGCAAAAGCACTTCTAAAAGAGGGTTAGTTAATTATATGCATATGGCTATTTGTATATATCTACATATATAGGTCTGTTTTCACACACATGGAATTGTAGGTTTTGTAATTGCTTGCTTCAGTCTAAATTTAGCTGTTTGGGGATTGTATTATTGAGTAATTTGGGTGTCAATTGTGTTATTGTCTGACTGCATTTTTTTGGTGTAATGTTTCTAACAAGTTGATTGGGAAATTTTCACTTAGGGCCTCTGGTTGTAGTTAGTTAGTTACTTCTCAGGTTGCTAATTTTTGTTAAAACATGTATAGTTGAGCAGATGATCAAGCAACCCTTTGTTGCCATACACAAAATTAATCATTATTAATACATTCTTGCTTTATTTTGGTCTCCTTCACTTACCATTACACTGAATGTTCCTACTTAAGAGTTGCACATGGTTCCGGTTCTTGTATTTCTTTGATAGATGAATTAGTGTTCTCTTAATTGCTTCAAAGGGAATGCTTCAAATGTGAACTTTCTGATGATCTGTTGTGTGTTTTTGTATGTAAGACCATTGAGTTTGTGTAAGATAAAACTGTTATAATCCATTTGAGTATGTTTTATTTTTAAATTTTTTTTTTTGTTCGATAGTATGTGAAGAGATGAAGAAAAGGAATTAGAAGATGGGTTTTCTTTCATGATACATGCATTGATGCTCCACTTGTTTTATTTTCAAGTTTTGCATTATATGCTGATTCTCAGTTAGTGTTTGGTTGGGAACCTGAAATGTGTTCGAAATGCTGATTCGTAGTTCGAATAAATAACTTGTATTGATTATTGAATAATGTTTTTGAATTTTCCCTAACTAGCCATAGATAAAAGATGCTAAATATGGACATTATCTACATCAGAAGGGGGTTAGCATGTGTATGGTGAGCTGAATAGTCGTTCTGAAAAAGCACAAAAAGCTGTTACTGCTGTGAAACTTTTAGTACTGAGGGAAGACAAGACTTCGCCAGTGAGTGAAATGCAATTGAGAAGTAACCAATTCATTGAAGGGAATAGAGCCAAGCACGCCTGAACTAATTGGTGAAGGGTTTTTTCATTGAAAACCTTTCTAAAACGGTAAAACAACAGGAGACCAACAAAAGTCCACTAGGGGAAAATCTGAGATGCAATTTGTTTTAAATTTAAACCACTGTTACAAGGATAACCAGCACTGCCCTATTTCTAGCAATTTCAAGTAATTGTAGAATTTTCATCGCTGAAAACTTATGTGACTGTGCTTTTGGCTGGGATTTTTGTAGCAGTGTTCCTCATAACTTGCTTGATAGAGAGCAGATTGACACTAACCCCCAAAAGAGAAATCTTCTCAGCATTGTAGTTTTGATTTGGATTTTGGAGACAAAGGTTGTGTCAAGCTAGGGATTTCCTAATGGCACAATCGTTGCATGAAATAATGGACTGATGCTGTGTAACAATCTCCTGTTGCGGTCATGTCCACTGCTCAAATGATTGCCACATGCTATGCTAGTTTCATGAAAACCTTCTAGTGTATGCACACAAAATTAGAAAAGGTGAAAAGAAGTAAGTAAAAGAAATCTTAGAATTTTCGATATATATATATATATATATTGTTGAAAAATCTAACTTCTTGCTTTTTAAGGCTAACTCTGTGGTTGTCAGTCTATCATTTAGTTTTCATAGAATCGTTGCAATGTATATGAGGTTGATTTTGAAGATTACTTACCTTTGAATTTATTAGCAAAGGTTCTTTTTGATTTTCCTATCCATCCCAATTATTCGCTAGTCAAGTCTTATTTAGTTATAGGAGATGTTTGAGAAACAACTTTTGTTTGACATTAGCATACCTGCTCATAAAGGTTTGATAAATTTTTTTTACAGGGCTTGCACTTTCTAATATTTCCAAACCAAACAAATGATTGCCCTTTATACAGGTCTAAGAAGCAGAATAAAGAGGTTAAGAAAAGAGGTGGTGGTGGTGGCTTTACCAAATTATGTAGTCTGTCTCCAGAGCTTCAGAAATTTGTTGGGGTGCCTGAATTAGCCAGAACTGAGGTATATCCCAAAAGTTCTACATTATTATTTTTAACTTTGTCCTGTATTGATGTTGCTTATTAATCTCATTCATATCTGTATTTGTTTGCCCATTATTTTGTTATAGGTTGTCAAGCAACTGTGGAACTATATTCGTGAAAAGAATTTGCAAGACCCAAGCAATAGGCGAAATATAATTTGCGATGACACACTGCGTGCCCTTTTTGCAGTTGATTGCATAAACATGTTCCAAATGAACAAGTCCTTAGCAAAGCATATCTGGCCATTGGATTCAGATGATGGTACTACTTATTATGCCATTTTATTTTGCTTTTTCACAAGGTTTACTTTTGCAATTAATATTATAGGTGCTGCACCATCTCACTTACTTGGTACAGTGTAACAAAGCTAGATTTGGATTGTCCTTTTGGGCTAAATTTTGCTCGTTATCAGGATGACTATAGTATATATTTGTGGAACTTTACTTGATAGGAAATAGCATTTTGTCTTGTTCTAAGGCTTGCCATATCAACTGTGTGGTTCTTGCGACCTGTTGAGAATATGTTGCGTCAAGTCGGTTTCTTTCTATTCATTTTTACAATTATATTCCACCCTTCTGTTTATGCTGTCAGTATCATCAACAATCTTGTAGCACTAGCAAATTTATGCAAGTTCTTCAAATATTGCTTACAATGTTTTTACATAATTTAGCAGCTTCAGTTAAATCTACGCCAAAGGAGAAGCCACAGAAGCAGAAGCAAAGGAAACAAGAGAGAGAAGATGGTACATACAGTGATTTAAGTTCTTAGATGATGTTAGTTTGGTTTTTCAGAGAATTTAATTTTTATTTACATTTTAAGGAGTTTCAAGGTTGTGTTCTTTACTTACTATCTATTGTAGTAAGTTAACCTGACATTGTCTATTCCACCACTAGTAACATTTCTCGCAGCTTAACCTGACTGTCATTTCCAGGTTGGGAGGCTTCAAACATTCTTTTCACCATTTTCAGGATTCATATTCAAATGGGTTAATCATGTGTGTTGCACTAGTTATCTGTCTTACGCTATGCATTTCGTAGATAAGTAGATTAGTTTAATTACTCCTCACTATTCCTTTTTCCAATATAGATTCAGATGATGAACCAAAAAGAAAGGAAAAACGGCAGAAGGGAGGGAACTCTGGTTTTCTTGCTCCTCTTCCACTATCAGATGCTTTAGTAAAGTTCCTTGGTACAGGAGAAAGTTCATTGTCTCGATCTGAAGTTGTGAAGAGAATCTGGCAATATATAAAACAAAACAACCTTCAGGTGCATGGTTGATCTCCTTTGTCAAACAATATTTATGCTGTGCTAGGTTGTGTGTACACTGGCATACACAATATCTATTCTGCACATGTTCACCTCTTAATTTTAAGTGCAAACTACTCATATATCGTGTATTTTTATTTTTTGTTTGTTTTGGAGGGGGGTTTGTATAATACTTCATGCAATATGTAATGAGAAACCTTTTACTTAGATCAAATGCACAAAACCAAGTAAATCTTGTATCTGTTCCCTTGACTGAGCAAAAAGATATTGAAGAAGATTATTCAGAATCAAACATAAAAAATTGTAAAAAGAAAAATCAATACTAGAGCAATACCGAAGCAGAACTAGATTTATTCCTAAAAAAGTATTTACTTTTTCAATTGCGTGATATCAGTTATATTTTTCTCAGTAGTACTGTACAAATTATTTCATTTCATCTATAAAATATGAAGAAAATTATAATGGCACATGACAGTATCAGGTAGAATCTAAGAAGTACGGACACAGACACAGAAACGACACGGACACTCAGACATGCAAATTTTCAAAAAATGTAGGACACGACACGTTGGTGACACGTGCAAAATATATAATTTTATATATTTATTTATTGTGTCATATTTTTAAATATTTAATATTTATTTTATGTCATATTTAATTTTATCAAATTTATGCTATTATAGTAAACAAAATTAAAATGTATATATATATATTTTGAAAAAATGGTCATCAACTTGTCTGCAGCGTGTACTGTGTCCATAGCATGTCTGTGTCAGTCACCTATACATCAACTTCAGAGAGGTGCCCGTGCATCATAGGATAGAATGCATCACAGTAACCTTGCGGGGGTGATGCTTTTTTAATAGACACTTCCGAATTTTCTTTGTCTTCCTACAAAAGCCATGAATCAAGAAAATGGATCCACTAAAGCATTTGTATCTAAGGAGTTGATGATGTTTATTATATTTTTGTTTATTCACTCTTATGAATTAGTTTGTGGTGTCACTTTTGATCTGTTAAGTGGAATTGAAAAGGTTTGTTCCCACACATTTGTTCATTTGCTTCAAGGCATTGTAAATCCGTTTGATAAAGTATTGTCTAATGGTTTGTGTTATTTGATGCTTCAGTATCTTTTCGGTCTTGGCCTCTTCCAAATGAACCTGTCATTCAATAGTTTCTGAGTTTTTTTGTTTTTGTTTTTGTTTTTTTGAAGGATCCATCTGATAAGAGGAGAATAATAAGTGATGAGAAGCTGAGAGAACTCTTCGATGTTGACTCCTTCAACGGATTCACTGTTTCAAAGCTCCTTACCACTCATTTCATGAAGACAGAGCACTGAGTTACTCGCACATGGTTTTGTTAAATTGCGAAGAACTGGGGATTTTGCATGTGAGTTTAGTTTAATATTCTAACCATTGTCTTTTTTTCTTTTGTTGTCCTCTGATGTATCTTCACTCCCAGGCCAACACGAGAGGCAAATAGTATCCGTCTAATCCATAAACAAAGAAAGAAAAAGAAAGATGTTAATTATTGCCTCAATCTTTGTACTCCAGAAATTCTCATCTTTCTTTAAATGCTGATATTCAAACTTTGCTATTTTTGGGTTTTCTGGAAGTGAATGCTAATTCAGTTTTTGATTTTGTCCTACCCTTCTGCTATCCCTTAGAAGCAAGTCAAATATATTAAAAGGATATTTTCGAAGTGGGTGCAATAGCTTGCTCTACTACTCATTTGGAAGACATAATTGGCTTTTAAACATAGTTTGTTCTTTCTGAACTCAAAGAGTGAAGCAAGCAACATCACAGCCACCTCCCCTCATCAATCTTCAATTTCTTGTCGGCCGCCATCAGTACCACTGAATGGCTATGACTCCAATCCACAGTGAAGCTCAACCATGCAGCATCTAACGATTAAAATGCAACATTTTCACCACCACCATAAACTGTTGCCATTGCCGTTCTTCATGTTGCACATGTCAGGATTGCAATGTTAGTTTGAATTCCACTTAAGTAATTGTCGTGTAGACTTTTTTATTAATTAATTATTTATATGTGTGTTGCAGAACTTGGCAGTTTGTTTTCTTTTATTCCATTGTAAGAACTTCATTTTTATCAGAAGTTCATGAAGAGGAATCAATGGTGTGTGATTACATGGCAGCGAATCGATCTGGTGGGAAATCTCTTTTACTGGGAACAACTTGCTCTCAGAATCTCATGTGATATGAATGTTTAGCTATCATCGCTGAGATAGGTATGGTTTGTGAACTTGTTGAGAAGATCAGGAACAAATGATTTAGTACCACTGGTTTTTTATCTTAATAAGAATATTTTATGTCCTGATTTCGTTTGCAATGAAGATAGGATTTTCCATGGTCGTAAAAATGTTCATACTTGTCTTGGCATTGTTCGTTTGATTAGGGTTTGGAACCATTGCTTTTAGGCAGAACAAGCATAAAATGGATTAGCCAGACTTTTTGAAACCAGTTATCTGCTGGGGAATAAGAATCGCTTGACAACCTGTGCTTAGCCAGAAAGTAGTGGTTGATGGCGTTTATTTGCCTGACATTGGCCCTGTTTGGGATGTAGGTTTTTTGATTTTTTGGGGCTAAAATAGCCAATAAAAAAAAAACTAAATAAAATGTTACATTCAAATTATAATCATTTCATTTTTTTTTCATAATCATTAAATTAATTATATAAAAAAATTAATCATCATTTAAAATTTAATTTTTTTAACCAGTAGTTTTTTTAATCAGGTTAAAATAGTTTAAAAAATTAAAAAGTCAATTAAAATAACTAAATTTTAAAACGGGGTCATTGACTATATATATACATATATATATATATATATATATTTTTTTTTTTCAAAAAATCCATATTTTTTAAACATTTCGTTTTCCATTTTAAAGTACACCTTTTGTTTTTTTTTATAAACTATTCTTATTTCATTGTTTCTAACAGTTAATTTTTTATAATCCTCTATCTTGGATTGTATGATCTTGTGGTTGTAATTCAGCACTCTAATTTTAGAGTTTGATGTTCAAAAAAATAAAAAAATAAAAAATAAAAAATAAATAAAAAAGTTATGACAATAATGCCATCATTAAAAAACCGTTCAAATATTTTACTATTTTACTATTCAATTCAGAAGAATAGGATCTTCCAACAAAGTGAAGGTAGATGTTAAAAAGAGATGAAAAAATAGCATTTTAATGGAACAATATTAAAATAATCACATTACAAATAGAATATTATACTGAAGGGATTTTACACTTTTTATAAATGAGATTATTTTTTCACTATTCAATTTTTTCAAAAAAAGGTTGGGTATAGGAAGAGAGACACAAACGATGGTTGCAAATACCTTGTCCTTTTGCACGAGGCATTTTATTGTTTGGCTGAAAGAAGAAGACCAGTTTTATTATTTATTACCCAACTGGGCTCACCCCATCCATCACACAGAAGAAAGAATCCTTATCTGATCTGATCTGATCTGATCTGCTGTTGTGGATTAGACAAAAAGAAAATGTCTCGTAACTCAAATTTTGTGGCTCAAAAGTGGTTCAAATGGCCAAAACGACGTCGTTTTGGTCATTTTTATGTTGTTCTGTACTCAAAACGACGTCGTTTTGGCCATTTGAGCCACAAAATTAGAGCTACGTAGCATTGTCGTAGACAAAAATTGATAATCCTAATTTTTAAATATAAAAAAATAAAATAAAATAAAAAATTGACATGAGGAAAATGTGATGTCTGATGGGGCATGCGAGGGAGGTATGGGGGTAGTAGTAGGGAATGCTTGGTTTGTATCTTATGATATAATTTTTAAGAAAAAATTTTAAAATTTTGTTTAGTTTAAATTTTTTGAAAAAAAATTTTCAAAGTCACTTTCTCTCTCTTATATGTCAATCAATCACTTCTTTTTTTTTTTCTTTCATTCTCAATCACTTTTTCTCTCACACACATCTACTCAACTACAACAAAATAGCAAATTATCCCAAAGTCCAAAACTATTTTCAAAATATACAACCAAACAAACCAAAAAAATTTCTAAACTCTCTCCTTAAAATTTTTTTAAAAAATTTATCCCATAACACAAATCAAACACACCCATAATGTATGAAATTTCAAAGGGACGTGGAATTCTGGAAGAGACGATTCCATCGTGACGTACCCAAACAAAGAATCTCTTCACATGGCCATCTCTCGTTGGAATTGTGAGTCAGTTTCACAACCGTTTTTGATTCTCTACTGTACTACTGTGTTTTTGTGTGTGACTTGAATCCATTAATTTACCCATTTATGAATGAATGAGATTCTTGTAATATTTTGCATCTCAAGGGCCACCCACAGAGCTGATTTTGAATAAAACATTCCTAAAAAGGTTGTTTTGCAAGAATTTTCTCCCTATTAAATTTTTTTTAGGAGATAATGCAATTCAGTGTGAAATGAAACAAGTATTTTTTAGAGGGTGAGAATTTCTTGAAATCTATATTGGTTCGTCTTCATAATTTAAATTGTTCATTTTATAAGATTCGTTAGATATATTATTCATATTAAAGATTAAATTGATCAAATATCAGTAACCTTCTGGTTGAATTAGATTTGTTGAAAAACATATGGATAGATTTTATGATTTTGAAAATAATTTGTTTATTTTTTCAACAAATGTGATTTGATTAAGTCATTATCAATATCTGATAAACATAATTTTTGATATTAATGAAAGTTTAGATCCCAATATAATCCCATAATTGGTTGGACTGAACCTCTCTAATCCAATAAAGGACTAAAGAGAAACTGTACTCTAATTTTTGTTGTGTTTTATTTTTAATTATTATTTTTTTTAAATAGGAAGAGTTACACTTCCACGTGTTTGAATTTTTTTTTGTCATGTGCATTGATTTATAATTTTTTACTTTAATTTTTTGTTAAAATATTAATTAACAAAATTTAAAATAATTATAAATTTATTTTGTACTACCATATGTTTAAGTGGATAGGGCATTGATTTATTTTGTATTATTATAAATTTCAACAATGCTAGGTAGCTCAAAATTTTGTGACTCAAATAGCTCAAATCACTCAAAACGACGTCGTTTTGAGTGTAAAACGACGTAAAACGACGTCGTTTTGAAAGATTTGAGCCATTTGAACCACAAAATTTTAAACTACCAAATATTTTCTTATAAATTTAGTATCACGTGATACTCTATTAACATACAAAAATTTCCCGTTTAAGTGGATCCTTTTCACTTCTCATAAATTTCATAAACTATTGGTATCTATATATTTATTTTATTATATAAAAGCCTACAATTCAATGAAGGTTTGTTTTAGCTTTCTAATTTTCAAATTGTCCTACAGCTGCTAGTTTTTTTTTTTTTAAATTGTAGCATATTTTTTGTCAATTAATAAAAGACTAATGGATTGGTTTTCATAGCACACTGTTGATTTTTATTGATTGAAAAAAAATAATTAAGTGAAACAAAACAGGAGAAGTTATAAAAATTTAAAATAAACGTGAAGATTGTAGGAAAGATAATAAGTGGAAAAAAATATATATTTAGGAATGAGCATAGTTATTTTATTTATTTATTTATTATTATTATTTTTTTGGCACGAGGAATGAGCATTGTTGTGTTGCCAAATTTGAGTTGATCAATAGATGCAACGTTTATACGGCCACTAAAGGCTCGTTTGGCAACTTGGATTTTAGTTAAAATAATTAGGGTTGTAATAACTTCGACTTATGATTACCTGTTAAATCATGATTAAGAATGCCTAATAAGTAATTACGGTGAAAATTTTACATTAATTGCATGTATTATGTAATATATGAGTTTCTATCTATTTTGCGTAGGAATATTTGTCTCTAATTTTGTTCTGTTTTGCGAATTGAATGCTTTATCAGCATCCGATTACGAAATTTACTTAGTTTCTGAGTTATTTGGAGTTTTTAAAATTTATAATAAGTTTAATTAAAATTCGATTCAAAACGATTAAATTAAAATAATTAATACCAATTTGATTAACTTTAATTAATCAGCGCTAGGTAAGCCTTTATAAGGCTCTTTATATGCTTCAACTCATTCATTTTCTTCATCTTGGAGCCTATACACACAACAAACGTGAGAGAGAAAGAGAGACCAAGAAGGAGATTAAAGTCAAGAAGAATAAGAGAGAATTGCTAAGGGTGCTCAAGAATTGGAAGGAATTGGTGATAGTTTGTTGAGTCTAGCTAGAATTTAAAGCGAATTGTGGACTTTAGGTAAGAAATTAACTCACACTCTATGAGTTTAAGTTACCTTATGCATTATTCAAAGAGAATTAAGGCTAGATGGTAGAATTGAATATGATTCATGCATGCATGCATGCCCATTTTCTCATGTTTTGAGTTTGATTCCAAGAAATTTATACATGCATGTGTTCACTCTAGCATGGTTTTGACAACTGGTCTCATTTCACACCATTTGACATCAATTGGTCATGTCTTCAAAGTGTAAAACATGAATTAACATACGCATATTATGAATACATACCGTTCAAGTTTGGTTTTAAAGAATTGACATCCTTTTGGGCCTTAATTTTGCGAAATGATTTTGAATTCACAAAGTTTTCCAAGTTTACACAAGTTTTCTTAAGGTTTTGGCCCAAAAGAATATGAATTTCAGCTTTCAATTCGAGTTTTGAGCTTGGGAGTGCAATCAAGAAATCCTAGAATTCTACCTCTCCGCTTGAGCGACAGATCCTACGCTCGAGCGACCACCTTTATTTTTGCACCTTCGCTCGAGCGATTAAAAGTTGGCTTGAGCGTAAATTGCATGCTTCCAGAAGTTTCCATGTTTTGCAGACCGCTCGAGCAACAAGAGTTACTCTCGAGTGAAGACCTCAGTCTCACGCTCGAGCGATGGTCGAGCGGAAAAAATCACACAACCAGTACTTTTGCAGAGTTTACAGATCGCTCGAGCGAAGGAAGTTGCGCTCGAGCGACCACTTACATTTTTGGTCTCCGTTCAAACGAGGACTCTGTTTT